TTCATGAACTGCCCACCTCGGCCTCCCAAAGTGTTGGGATTACTGGCATGAGCCACCTCGCCCAGCCAAAATTAGGTAACATTTAAAACTGAACAATGATGAGCCCACCACATAGAGGTAATTGGATGGGGCACTCACCTGTGCTCTGAGAGAGGAGGGCCAGGCAGGACCCAGAGGGCTCTGCAGAGGCACCAGGAACCCTAAAAAGGGAGGCCACTGAGCAGGACAGCAGGACGCAGCCTCCCCTGCCCAGGCCTGCATCCAGCCCTCACACGTCTCAGTCCAGGAAGGGGTGAGGTGGGTCTGGGTGGTTAGAGGTGCAGCTGCACCTGCTGGAGAGGCCCCGCCCAGCCCTCGAGGGTTCCCAGTGTCCTCCAGACCCAGATTTCCCACCACAGAAACGTGTGGTCTGAGGCTGCCTCTCTTTAGAGGCTGTGGCAGGTGCAGGGTCAGGCGGGGGCCGAAAGGGAGCAGTGGGGACACTATATTTAAAAACAGTCCCATCTCCCAAGACCTGGGGCTGTCCTTGGGGGAACCAAAGTTTCTGAGTCCTGGGCAATGATGAGCGTCACATTCAAGAGGCGTGCTGGAGGGGGATCAGCTTCAGCCCAGCCCCAGGTAAGATGATGCTCCAGTCCTCAAGGTGAGAGGAGCCAGAGTCAGGGGCAGCGGTGGGCCAACCCTCCCAACCAGGGAGAAGCTGGACTGGATCAGGAGCCTCTCAGGGGCCTCCGCTGTACCTGCATCAGTGTTTCTTGGCGTCCACATGCCATTACTGCTCAGCACCTTGCCCATCACCCTGAGGACCGTGAGCTCTCTGGGATGCAGCCTTTGGCCCTCAGGGGACTCTCAGTCAGTGTTTATGGGACGCTGGGATCTGAACATCAGTCCATACAGCCTGACATCACTGTGGCTCTCATGATCTCCAGGAGATAAGGTGAAATCTTCCTGTCTGTCTGTCTGTCTGTTATGGCATTCCACAACCATGGCTGGCCAGATGCCAAGGGGATGTGCAAGATGGCCCAACTCCAGGACGGGCATGTGGCACCCAGGAAACTCAACTTGGGGGAAGCGGCCAGGCACAGTGGCTCACACCTGTAATCCCAGCACTTTGGGAGGCCAAGGTGGGTGGGTCACCTGAGGTCAGGAGTTTGAGACCAGCCTGACCAACATAGTGAAACCCTGTCTCTACTAAAAATACAAAAAAAAATTAGCTGATCATGGTGGTGGACACCTGTAATCACAGTTACTCAGGAGGCTAAGATAGGATAATCGCTTGAACCTGGGAGGCGGAGGTTGCAGTGAGCTGAGATTGCGCCACTGCACTCTAGCCTGGGTGACAGAGCGAGACCGTCTCAAAAAATAAAAAGTAAAAAAGCCAAACTATTGGCCAGGCACAGTGGCTCATGCCTGCAATCCCAGCACTTTGGGAGGCCAAGGTGGGCGGATCACAAGATCTCCATCAAAAAACAAAACAAAACAAAACTTGAGGGAAGCTGGGGAGAGCCTGACAAGCCATCAGATGGCACTGCCCCCAGGGACACACCCGGTGGTGCGGACAGGAACAAAGAGGACCTAACGGAAAGGGTGGTTTCAAACGTGACAGCAGATCAGTCACTGGGGAAATGCAAGAGGGGATTTGACAACTGGGCCAAAAAAGATTTTCCATCCAAACTTCCAGCAAGAAGTGGATCTTCCCTCATTTCCCAGAGCATATCTATGCATTTAGATAACTGAAGCAACATTCCAGGATCCCTCACCATCCCTCCCCTTGAACGGCTCGCTTCTCCAGGCAGTGAGGCTGCCTCACTTCAACAAAATGCTGGTTGCAGCTATTGGAATGAATTTCACACCCTTTATGAGCTGCAGTGCAAAATGTGAAGTGTGGCCGTTGAAGCTCAGTATCATCAAGGATTTATTTATTTCATGATGATTAACGCCATTTTCCAGGCCACACCAGCTGGGCCAGCTGGTAATAATAATGATAATGATAATCGGCTGTGTGCGGTGGCTCACGCCTGTAATTCCAGCACTTTAGGAGGCTGAGGTGGGCAGATCACCTGAGGTCAAAAGTTCGAGACCAGCCTGGTCAACATGGTGAAAAACCATCTCTATTAAAAACCCCAAAAATTAACCAGGCATGATGGCAGGCACCTGTAGATCCAGCTAGCCTGGAGGCTGAGGCAGGAGAATCACTCGAACCCAGGAGGCAGAGGCTGCAGTGAGCCGAGATTGTGCCATTGTTCTCCAGCCTGGGCAGCAGAGTTAAACTCCGTCTTAAAAAAAAAAAATGGGCCGGGCGCACTGGCTCACACCTATAATCCCAGCACTTTGGGAGGCTGAGGCGGGAGGATCACGAGGTCAGGAGATCTAGACCATCCTGCCAACATGGTGAAACCCATCTCTACTAAAAATACAAAAATTAGCAGGGTGTGGTGGCATATGCCTGTAATCCCAGCTACTCTGGAGGCTGAGGGAGGAGAATCGCTTGAGCCTGGGAGGTGGAGGTTGCAGTGAGTCAAGAATGTGCCATTGCACTCCAGCCTGGGTAATATGAGCAAAACTCAGTCTCATAAAAAAGAAAAGGTTTACCTCATCAGGAGGTCATAAGTATTTTTTGTTTTCGTTTTGAGACAAGGTCCCACTCTGTTGCCCAGGCTGGAGTGCAGTGGTGTGATCGCGGCTCATCGCAGGCTAGACCTCCTGGGCTCAGGTGATCCTCCCACCTCAGCCTCCCAAGCAGCTGGGACTACAGGTGCAAGCTACCATACCTGGCTAGTTTTTAATTTTTTTGTAGAGATGGGGTTTCACCATGCTTCCAAGGCTGGTTTCAAACTTCTGGGCTCAAGTGATCCTCCTGCCTTGGCCTCCCAAACTGATAGGATTATAGGCGTAAGCCACCAACCAGACCAACAGTTTTAAATCTGTATACACCTAATAATGTAGTCTCAAAAAACATGAAACCAATAACTATTGAGCTACAGGGACAAATAAAGAAATTCACAGTCCCTGACGGAGATGATCACCTTCTTAGCAGACAAAACAAATAAACTAACCCTAAAACCAAAAAGTAATAGAAGGTTGAAAGACGATAGTGAGTACCTAGTATAGAAACACCGCATTCAAGAGTTACAGAGTATACACGCTCTTCAAAGACAAACGCAGACGAGAATCATTGACACAAATCATCTATCTAGTCACAAAACAAGTCTCCATAAGGCAAATTTCAAAGTCCTGAAATTATTCAGAGCATGTGCCCTAAACACATACAGTTAAACTAGAAATCGATAACGTAGATATGGCCGGGCACACAGTGGCTCATCCCTGCAATCCCAGAACTTTAGGAGGCCAAGGAGGGAGGATCATTTGAAGCCAGAAGTTTGAGACCAGCCTGGGCAACATAGTGAGAACCTGTCTTTATAAAAAGTAAAAAAACAAAGTAGCCGGATGTGGTGGCATGAGCTTGTAGTCCTAGCTACTCGGGAGGCTGAGGTGGGAGGATGGCTTGATCCTAGGAGTTGGAGGCTGCAGTGAGCCATGATCACACTACTGCACTCTAGCCTGGGTGATAGTGAGACTGTCTCAGAANAAAAAAAAAAAAAAAAGATAATAAGCCTGGGAAGGTGTTATGCACGCAGCACTTTCCAGTTTATAAAGCACTTTCAAAGGACACATAGTGTATGGTCCCACCCATAGGAGGTACTCAGGGTAGCCAACTTCATAGTGACAGGAAGCAGCATGGTGGGTGCCCAGGGCTGGGAGAGGGAGGAATAGGGAGTTAGTGTTGAATGGGGGCAGAGTTTCAGTTTTGCAAGATGAGAAAGATCTAGACGTGCCATTGCACTTCAGCCCGGGCAACAAGAGCGAAACTCTGTCTCAAAAAATATATATACAAAAATTAGCTGGGCATGGTGGCCCGTGCCTGTAATCCCAGCTATTCGAGAGGCTGAGGCAGGAGAATCACTTGAACCAGGGAGGCAGATGTTGCAGTGAGCTGAGATCATGCCACTGCACTCCAGTCTGCTGACACAGTGAGAGTCCATCTCAAAAAAATAAATGAATAAATAATACTAATAATGTATTGTACACTGGAAAATTGCTAAGATTAGATCTTCCATGTTCTTACTACAAAAGCACAAGTATGTGAGGTGACAGACGTGGGAATCAGCCCGAATTAATCATCTAACAGTGTGACAAGACATCACATTGTCGATGGTAAATATATACAATTTTATTTGTCAATTATACCTTTAGAAAGCGGGGTGGTGTTTCTATGTTTGTGATGTGTTTCTGTGTGTGTCTGTGTCTCTGTGTGTGTATCTGTGTCTCTGTGTGTGTCTCTGTGTTTGTGTGTCTGTCTGTGTCTGTGTGTCTGTGTGATGTGAGGTCTGTGAGGTGCTGATCATGGTGCATTAACCATCATTTTCATTCTTATCTCCTGATTCCTGGACTTGAATCGTGAGTGGTTTCTGGCTAAACTCAAACCTGTTTCCTCCTCTCTCACCACCCCTCCCGCCAGGGCTGGTTGGAAGAGCCCACCCCAGCCCCCTGAGCTCAAGCCCTGGGGGACTCCTACTGGGCAGCTCTCTGGACCCCAGGGAGATGCTCCACAGACCCAGAACGCCCTAGAGGAAGTGGGGAAGGAGGAAAGTCAGGTGCATCACCTCCTGGGACCGGGACCCAAGCCCATCCAGGGTGCAGGTGCCTCCAAAGGAAAGGCCTAGGGGAAGGTCTTGGGGGGCCGTGGTGCAGCCCACTTCCCTGTGTGACCTCAGCCCTTGCCGCCACTCTGCCTCTGGTGGGAGGTCCTTGAACAAAGCACCCAGGGCCCCAGGGGCAAGGCCAGGCTGACAGCTGTGGTGAGAGGCAGTTGATCCCTGATCTGACCACAGCAGGGCGGTTGGCAGATGTGCCTCTGTACGCAGGGGTAACGGCCATGGACCTTGGAAGGGGCTGGTCTGGGGGCAGGGATCGGAGGATGAGGACGGGGCCACATGGGCTGGGTGCACTGGGACAGCTGCTGCCAGTGAGAGGGACCAGGGCACCACTCTCCAGGGAGGCCACGCTGCAAGTCAGGCCAGAGGGCCTCTGACCCTGAGGGCCGATGAGGCCTGGGACAGGCCAGGGGGGCCGTGAGGCCCCTGGTGAGCCAGGCGCGGACCCCAGGCAGCGCTGGCCCCTGCTGCTGCTGGGTCTGGCTGTGATAACCCATGGCCTGCTGCACCCAATGGTTGCACTGCAGAGCCGGGCCCTGGGCCCTGGAGCCCCTGGAGGAAGCAGTCGGTCCAGCCTGAGGAGCCGGTGGGGCAGGTAAGGGGCGAGAAATTCCAGGGGATGTTGGAGGGGCAGCAGAGACAGGAAAGGGTGACCAAGGAGAGACAAGCCAGAGAGGTGAGGAGGAAGGTTAACCCCTGGAGGGGAGCCAGAGAGACACTTGCCTTTTAATTTTTTTTGAGATGGAGTTTTGATCTTGTTGCCCAGGCTGGAGTGCAATGACGCGATCTGCAATGGCTCACTGCAACCTCCGCCTCCCCAGTTGAAGTGATTCTCCTCCCTCAGCCTCCTGAGTAGCTGGGATTATAGGCATGCACCTCCACGCCCCGCTACTTTTGTATTTTTAGTAGACACGGAGTTTCTCCATGTTGACCAGGCTGGTATCAAACTCCCAACCTTAGGTGATCCATCCGCCTTGGCCTCCTAAAGTGCTGGGATTACAGTCATAAGCCACCATGCCCAGCCTGACACTGGCTTTAACTAAAGAGTTGATATTTTGTCCATGATGGATTTCTTTGAATTAATTTTTATTGCTTAATGTCATATTAAAAGATTATTTGTCTTGATTCCTGAGATTTCTGTGTTCCCCTTTCCCCCCTTATATTTGGCACCAAGGCCACTGTCTCCCTCACCTCCCCCTAGTCCTTGGGGTAGGGCAAGAATGGAGGCAGGGGCAGGATGCCCACAGGGGGTGGTGGCCGCTGTCCCTGAAGAGTGCCCAGACGTACTCCCCACCTCCTCCTTTCTCCCTGGCCTATGTCGCCTGTGCACTCCCACCCTCACTGGGCAGGGCCACTCCCTGGAGCTCCAGCTGATGTGTGGGGGGCCTTTCCTGGAGTCCCTGGGTCACTAGAACTCAGCCAGCATCTCCTTCTGGGACCAGCCCCTAGGAGACCCAAGCTTCACCAGGGTGCAGGTGCCTCCAAAGGAAAAGCCCAGGGGAGGGTCTGGGGAGGCCACATCTCTCCGTGTGACCTCAGCCCTTGCTGCCTCTTCATGTGGTGGGAGGTCCCCAGACAAAGCACCGAGCATCTGGGTTCATTTATGACCTTCTGGGACACAACAGCCTGTTCATCACTGGCGCATGTTATACCCCACAGGCGATAATTATTTTAGAGGCAGAACCTCCCTCTCCGTGGCCCAATAGGCAGGTCCTGCTGTGATCCCCATTGTGCAGATGGGGATAGGGGCCAGAGAGGCAAGGTGACCCGCTCAAGTCACTCTGCCCATGGGCACAGATTCTAAGGCCCAAGTTGGACAGCCTCCAGCTCTCCCCATCCCATCCTCTAAGCTGATGGAGCTGACATGTGCAACTCTGGAGCCTGAGTTTCTCTTTTTTTCCTCCCTTGCGACAGAGTTTCACTCTTGTTACCCAGGCTGGGGTGCATTGGCGTGATTTCGGCTCACTGCAACCTCCTACTCCTGGGTTCAAGTGATGCTCCTGCCTGAGCCTCCCGAGTGGCTGGGATTATAGGCGCCCACCACCACACCAGGCTAATTTTTCATACTTTTTTATTAGAGATGGGATTTCACCATGTTGGCCAGGCTGGTCTCAAACTCATGACCTCAGGCGATCCACCCCCTTGGCCTCCCAAAGTTCTGGGATTACAGGCATGAGCCACCATGCCTGACCTGAGTTTTCCCTTCTGCAAACTGAGGGGTCCTGATTGATGAGGGCCTTCAGCCTCTCACCCGCCCAGAGGATGCTGGGGTGGCCTTGATGAGAGCACCAGCAGTGGGAGCTGACCTGACCCACGCCAGGAGCCCATCCATAGAGGCGGGGTCAGCACCTGTGGGTGGCAGGCCGGGACCAGGTCTCAGTGTCCTGCAGGGACTTCTGGGCAAGGAGTTCCCATCAGGGTCAGGCTCTTGCTGGGACTGAGGTCCCAGAGGATAGAGGATCTAGGCTCAACCCAATTCAAGTGCACAAGGATCGGGGACTGGGCGAGGCAACAGCCACCTGCAGGGTGATGCCTGCAGAACAGGGACTGGGTTGGGGAAGGCCGGAGGGCTCCCCTCAAGGGGAGGGAGACACAGATAATAAAAATGGTGTTATGTTGGGGGGATATTAATATAAGTTTTTATATTATAATCTTTAGAAATCTTTTTTTTTTTTGAGACCGAGTTTCGCTCTTGTTGCCCAGGCTGGAGTGCGGTGGTGTGATCTTGGCTCACCGCAATCTCCACCTTCCTGGGTTCAAGCGATTCTCCTGCCTCAGCCTCTCAGGTAGCTGGGATTACAGGCATGTGCAGCCACGCCCAGCTAATTTTGTATGTTTAGTGGAGACGGGGTTTCTTCACATTGGTCAGGCTGGTCTCAAACTCCTGACTTCAGGTGATCTGCCCTCCTCGGCATCCCAAAGTGCTGGGATTACAGGCATGAGCCACCGCACCTGCCAATTTTTAGTATCTTAGAGAAATATTATGGGTGGGGTGCAGTGACTCACGCCTGTAATAATTTTATACTACAGCTTTGGGAGACTGAGGCAGGATTGTTTGAGCCCAGGAGTTTGAGATCAGCCTGAGCAACATAGCAAGACCCCATTTCTAAAAAAATATATACAAATTTAGTTAATTGTGGTGGCACTTGCCTGTAGACTCAGCTACTTAGGAGGCTGAGGTGAGATGCTTGCTTAAGCCTGGGAGGTTGAGGTTGCAGTAAGCTGAGATCCCACCACTGCACTCCAGCCTGGGTGACAGGGGGAGACCCTGTCTCAAAAAAAAAAAAAAAAAAAAAAAAGACATTATTGTCAAATTCTGATAAATATCTCTTCTATTCATAGCTTATTAAAAGATATTTTCATTGTTTTTAAGAAATAGATTGTGTGCCACTTTTTATATTTAGTTTTAAATTTATTTTATTTTTTTTTTGGGGGGGCAATCTCTCCATGTTGCCCAGGCTGGCCTCCAACTCCTGGGCTCAGGCAATATCCCTGCCTCAGCATCCCAACTAGCTGGGACTACAAGCATGCTCTACCACACCTGGATAATTTTTGTAGAGATGGGGTTTCGCCATGTTGCCCAGGCTGGTCTTGAGAACCCCTGGGCTCAAGTCATCTACCCACCTTGGCCTCCCAAAGTGCTGGGATTTCCAGGGGTGTGCCTGGCCTGTGCTACTTTTAATAGGTCTTAATAGTTTTGTTTTTTTGAGACGGAGTCTTGCTCTATCGCCCAGGCCGGAGTGCAGTGGCGCAATCTCGGCTCATGCAGCCTCTGCCTCCCGGGTTCAAGCGATTCTCCTGCCTCAGCCTCCCAAGTAGCTGGGATTACAGGCGCCTGCCACTGCACATGGCTAAGTTTTGTTATTTTTAGAGACGGGGTTTTGCCGTTTGGGCCAGGCTGATTTTGAACTCTTGACCTCGTGATCCACTCATGTCGGCCTCCGAAAGTGCTGGGATTACAGGCATGAGCCACTGCCTCCAACTATTGTTTCTTAATTATGTTGAGCCTTTTTGTTTGTTTGTTTTTGTTTTTGAGATGAAGTCTCGCTCTTGTCCTCCAGGCTGGAGTGCAATAGCTCCATCTTGGCTCACTGCAATCTCCGCCTCCTGGGTTCAAACCAAAGTGATGGAATTTCAGGCATGAGCCACCACGGCTAATATTGAGCCTTCTTTTAGCTTTAAAAGGAATGTCGGCCGGGCGCGGTGGCTCACGCCTGTAATCCCAGCACTTTGGGAGGCCGAGGCGGGTGGATCACTAGGTCAAGAGATCGAGACCATCCTGGTCAACATGGTGAAACCCC